TATAATCACGTATTGTAGAAATACTAGAGATTACTTGGTTCCATCAGTATGGGGATCCGTCGATAAGCGTGACGATCCATATGCATCAGCTGCTGGTTGCAGCTGTCTCATTTTATAAAAAAAAAAATTCTCCTATAGGATTGTTCTATTTATTTCATCTTGTTATATATATATAATTTTATCCTTCTAACTCGTTTTATATTACATCGTACCTTTATTAATAGTATTATATGATATATGTTTTAGATGTGCTCCTTTACCAAAAGTTTGCAACTTCCCTTACATTTAAAATGAAATTTTTTTTTTTTTTATGAGGTTGCATCTTTTCGGTAATATATTTCACAAATGTACCTCTTATTAAAGAAATATTGTATATTAATGAATTTTTTTTTTTTATTCAATTGTTACTTTATATGTTTATGCATTATTTCATTATCAAGCAGTATGATATATAATACTAACCGTTCTGCGTTAATTTTCATCTTACTTTATTTATTTATTTACGCAATATGTTGTAAAAAAAAAAAAACAAAAAAAAAAGTTGCATTCTTCATAATATATATTATTCTCTGAAGCATTTAACAATAAAAGTTTATTGTTTATTTATGATTTTTAATTTTAAGATGAATTATATAATTATATTTGTAAAAAATAAAAGTCATTAATTAACATCCTTTCGCAAAGGATTTACTATTAAAATTATCAATTTAATAATATGATCGATAAATATAGTTTTAGAGTGCGAATTTTAAATTCGAGTAAAAAATAATATTTTAAGCTAATCTGAGTATTTTGGTGAATCATATTTACTTTTATTCAACGTTTTTTTTTTTTTTTTTTTTTTTTTTTGATATTAAAAATATGTTATCCGTAATGCCATTAATGTTATTTTTATTAGGTTTCAAATTTCGTGGTTTGTATAACCTTTTTAAAGGGTTCCCCGAATAGGTCATTTCACCGACATATTAGCCAGATTTAGGGTTAGCAAATTTTTATTGGTGAAATAAAATAACTGTCGATAAACTTTTTTAAATGTACAAAATCTATTTTTGACGCGGATATATAAAAGGTATTTGCGAATTGACTGTAAATCTTGTGTAAAATAACCTACTATTTTGGTTAATAAGAAATTAAAACAATTACATTTACTAAATTTAATTTAACTTTAATAATACGTAGAAAAGAATCGATCCCGCACGTGACTTGCACGAGATGTCCCAGGAGAAAATTTCGTATTTTAACATGTTCTACGTAGTAATAAATTGTATTTAATTTACTACTATTTATCAAATTTATCTTGCGAAATAAATGAAAAAAAAAAAAAATGCGAAAATACATCTCTAGTCACTTCTAATTATTATACGAATAATGTGAAGTTACTTGGTAAAATTCAGATACCAGACGTAATTGACTTTGGGGGCGATGCCTAATATATTTTCAATAAAATAAAAGTCGACTTTTAATGACATCAAAATTGCATAGTCATATAATAAAGATATACTAAATATAGTTAGCGTTAATAATGGTCAGGGAAAACCCGTAAATCGTGAATTCTAGTACGTAATTTGGCAACACATTTATTACATAATTATTAGTCATACGTATATTTAATCACATGTAAACGATTTTTGATCAACCCAAAACTTAAAAAAAACGCCAGTAATAAAAGGAATAAAAGGATCGCTCCCTATTGTAGAATTGTAGATAAAATAAAAAAACAAACAAAATGATAGAACTACCAAATGAATGCTTTTCTGAAATATTTAATAACTTTCAGAATTGTTATAAAACTTTATTTTCATGTCTTCTTGTAAACCGTCAATGGTGTCGAAATATTATACCAATATTATGGAGTAAACCATTAGATAATTTTAAAGATGCAAGAATTATAAAAATTTATCTTTCAACATTAAACGTTGAAGAACAAAAACCGTTAATACCTTTTGGAATAATAATTTCAAATAATCAAAAACCTTTATTTAATTATACAATATATACTACATCTATTATAGATGATAATCTTAGTAAAGGAATTGTTAATTGGCTTGATAATGAAATAAGTAACTCTCGTGAAATAATTACTGATTCAGATTCATATGAGAATTTAATTCAAGTAATTAAATTTTCATTAATTACTATGCTTCTACGAACTAGTGAAATACTTAAATTTGTAGCCTTTAATGAATCTGTAAATGACAAAATTATAAAGATGTTAATAGAAATTTTATATAAAAATATTTCTATTAAAACTTTAAGCATTTGTTTTAATAATCTTAGTTCCATAGAAGGAAAAATGTTAATGGAAGCTCTTTATAGAAATAATACTATAAATTTTTTTAGACTTAGTGATAATCAACTTGGTATCAATGAAGGAAGGGCAAATCGTGAGTTGAATAAAATAATAATTATGAATTTCTTTTATTAATAATTACTTATTTTTACAAGTTCTCTAATTATTTATAAATTCTGAAATTTTAGAAGTTAAATTCGATTTTACAGAAGATTTGCCTTCTATCTCATATAGTCTAAATGAACCATATGATGGAACTTACTTGAATATGTTATACCTTACGGGATCATTACCGATATCAACATCAAATGAATCGATCATACCAAAATGTGAAAAGATTGAAATTATTTGCGAATCTCATGATCAAGGATGGTCATCTTATCCTCAAGATCAAGGTACATATAACAATTCGTGGACATGGGGGGAGGTTTCCATTGTCTCCTCAAGACAGAATAATAATTTACAGGATCAATTAACTGAGATTAATGAGGAAGTTATTGAAAAGGAATCGAATGTGCGATATGAGATTTATAGAAATAGACATGCTGACAGTGACTGGCAAACACATCAATATGAGTTTGTTTCAGAACATCCATTAGTGCAAAACCTGCAACCTGGTGATATGGTGGGACTTTGGATTCGATCTATTTATCCGTGTTGGTGTAATTATATCAGGCGAGCTGAAATAAAATTTTATTATACAATTTAGAATCTTTTCACAATCCCTCGACATTCACTGTATCTAAAGATAAAATCTTTTAACAAATAGTTAAACTATGTATATTTATAAATTTTATGATATTCTCATATACTAAAATTATTGTGTCACGAGTGTCCTGTACATTGTTATCAATCATTTAATTCATGTGAAAGTAAAGTATAAATATAAATACTCGAATTACAGTGTACGTATCGAATTACAGATTACAGATATGTCTTTGGGTCGTGTGACTATGGGAAATATGAATACCGATACACCTTGATTATTTGTAATAACATAAAATTAAAATGTTTATAATTCTATTTTCTTAAAAATCTATATCGAATTAATATAAAATTCGTTAGAGAAGCTTGAAATATTCAGACTCGATTATATAAATTTTTGCAGGGATATCATTGAATTGTATTCAATTTAAATATAGAAAGAATCTTGTTTTTCGTTGATTGACCTTGTGTTGATTTTTGTGATATATTTCGAGTAATATGTATTATGCCTTCTTTTGTTTTTTGAGGAATTGAATCATTTTCAAAATTGATATCAATGATTCTTCGATCTGGTTTTAATTTTGTCAATTTAGCAAAATTTTCATTAAAATTTGTTATATTATTAAAAGAAATATCAAGTTGATGGGTTATTTGAGGACATGTTCTCATTATCTGAGGGAATGTTCCTACTACTTTTTTACGGGATAGAGATTTTGATTTTATATTACATCCAAGTATCTGCTTAATAGTAATTCGAAACCCTTGCATACTTTCTGTAAGACCCCATTTTCCTGAATGATGGAGTTGATCCGGGCATATTCTGTGATCATCAATTTTATCAAATTTAATATTTTTAAAATGATATGGCCATATTACTCCTTTTATTGGACAGCTTTTCATTTTCATTTCCCATTCACATATAGTCGCTTTTGTACTGTCACTATGTGTCAAATTACGACTTACAGTTGCACTCAAACTTTGTGATGAAAGACTACACTGAACACTATTATTTGTCATATTATCAGTTGAAACCTCATATTTCTCTGGTCCAATTTGCTGTGGTCTATATTTATCTTTTAATATAAAAGAAACTAAGGTGTTATTTACATTATTATTTATCTCGCTATTGGTATTATTATTTGTGCTGCTTGAATTATTATTAATATTTAAAGAAATTGGAGAAACTTCAATTATAATTGATTCAAGATAAAAACCAACAAACCATCCCTGAAGTGATTGACATTTTTTATTAAGCATTTCGTCCGCTCCACACGCAATAAGTTCAATACTAAAATTTAAAATATTCTCATCATCTATCATATTGTTTATATTTGCCCTGAGATGAGCGTTGATTTCAAAACTCTGAAAATTTTCATCTTCTTTGGCCCTTGCTGCTGATAAGATTTGAATAAATTGATCATCTTCAACGCTACTTTTCCCATTATTATTTCCATCTCCCCCGCCATTTCCACCATTTTTATTTCCATTATTTGCGTTTTCATTATTATTTTTGTTTCCATCATTTCCATTATTTGCGTTTTCACTACTATTTCCATTTCTATTATTTGAGTTTTCACCACCATTTCCATTTCCATCATTTGTATTTTCTTCTTCACTCTTTCCATATCCACCATTTCCATTGGTTTCGTTTCCTTCAATACTTTCTTGACCACTATTTTGATTCTCATCACTAAATTTATTTTCATTAATATTTGATATATCTATATCCTCATCTCTGATTTCTATTATTTCATACATATCATTGAACAAATCTGAAAGTTTTTCGATTAAAATTTTATTAAGAGGCTTTGTGACCCAGCAGGCGATGCTTAGTACAGAATAGCCTTGCTGAAAGTAAGGCCCTATTGCATAAACAGGTTGAGATCCCAGCATTTCATCAATTTTATTCTTTTTCTCATTAATTAATGAGGACAATTGTTCAATTTGAACATATGAATTTGCTGAAGTTCCTTGAAAGACCGTTGTATTCACTGATACAAAATCCGATATTTCTATCTGGTTAGTATTATTACAAACTTTTGAGTTTCTCCCATTACTGATAGTAAGATTAGGTTCTATTAATTCAATTTGAACATATGAGTCGACTGTATTCGTTGATACAAAATCCATATGGTTGGTTAGCGTAGTGTTTTTGCAAAGTGCATCTGCTAATGCTTTTTCTTCCGCTGATCTAAGTTGATTACTATCAAGATTCAATGAAGTCAGCGTGGTGTTTTTGCAAAGAGCATCTGCTAATGCTTTTCCTCCCTCTGATCCAAGTTTATTATTAGTAAGATCCAATGAAGTCAGCGTGGTGTTTTTGCAAAGAGCATCTGCTAATGCTTTTCCTCCCTCTGATCCAAGTTGATTATGTTGAAGATCCAATGAAGTCAGCGTGGTGTTTTTTAAGTGATTTTTATATAAAAATTATTTATAACATTATTTAACAATATATACACAAGTTTTTTTATAACAAATTAGTTGCAAAAAGAGGTTTGTTTTATTTTTTAGTATTGAGAAGATAATAATTTTTAATAATATCTTATAAATTCTGTTAAATATTTATTATATACTAAAGCAATTATACATACTTTATAAAAAATATACTATTGAGCTTTTAAAAATCTTTGAGAAGATATATTAAGTATGCTATTTGTATTCTTTAATTATTAATTTATCTGAAGATATTAACACTTATAGATTGTATTCTTTAGGTTATAAATAACAGATTACTATCTTCTAAGAAGTTTTATTACTTTCAGAAAGCTATTCACAACTGTTTTATGTGACTATTTATATTGCAATTATACTAGCTATACTAACTTTCTAATGATAGTAATATTTTTTTTGTGTAGGCATAGCAACTATGGCTATTGTTTACAAAGATATAAATTTAAATATCTAATTTGTTTAGACTATTTAAAGAGCGAAATTAAAAAAATATTGATTCAATTAAGGTAAGTATAGTGAACAAATCGAGTGAAAATAAATTCATCACTGAAAGAAGTGAAGACATAGTTGAAGATAATTCAGATGTTGAAATGGCAATAGATGATGTAGCAACAATAGCAAATTTATTAGAAAATGCAAAACAATCGTTTTCCAAGTTGTAATTTTTTTTTATTAAAATTTGTATAATAAATTCACAATTAAATAATTATCGCGTAAGCTACTTTATTATATTAATTTTCTCTGATCAAATAATTACCACGCGATATAAACTATTATTATTAAATTTATATTAAAACTTACTATTATCTGTTATATGAATTTCATATAAGTCCTGTAATTGGATTGGTCTAGAAAAGATACAATTCTGGACGATCATTTCCTTATTTGGGACGGTCTCCCTGTTCTGTCGATATGGGTAGTGTCACGTATACAATACAATATATATATATGCATTTTAATCACGACAGATAAGTCCACAATAATTATGACAAATACTTCAGAAGAATGGCTCGAAAGAGCTATTTCAGATGGACATATTAATTATCTCGAATATAATAAGTTTACATATCGTGAAGTAATTGGTACAGGAGGTTTTGGAACAGTTTATAAATACGAATGGAAAGACTGCGAATTAACGGTTGCTCTCAAATGTCTTAAGGTCGATAC